CACGGGTGCGCACGGAGGCCTGAAAGGAGATCTTGCACATGCTTTGAGCTCCGTTTGTGTGGGGTGGGGTTTTTTTTAATTCTCCAAAGAAGATCTGGATACTTTGCCAGATGTTTTGACCCAATTCCCAGAGTTGAGCCACACTGAATCACATTTTTCAATCTGTTGTGTTTCTTTTCAGGGATCAGACCCTTTTCTTACCCTGAGTGACTTCCTAAATGGATCGATTCCACATTTGAGTTAAAATTAATGGCCCTCTGGTGAAAGAGTAAAAACAAAAAAAGAAAAAATAATTTGGGTCAGCAAAAAAAGTTCCCAGTCAAATCAATTCACACTTTCATTTGTGTCATGCATTCTTTTTTTCATTCATTTAAATCGTGCTAAACCCAATTTGAATGTTTTATGTACTATAACTGCTCTCTCAGCAAGAAAGAAGCAGAATCAGAAGCTGCCTTTTCTAAGAAACGGGATAAGAGGGAAGCAGGCAGTGCTATCCCTTCCCTGTACAGTGGTGCCCCGCTTGACAACGATAATCCGTTCCAGTAAAATCGCCTTTAAGTGATATCGTCGTCAAGCGAAAGAAAAAACATTGAAATGCATTGAAAACTGGTTCAATGCGTTCCAATGGGCGAAACACCTCATCGTCCAGCGAAGATCCTCCTTAAGGGAAGCCATTTTCAGTTGCTGTCTTCCTTCAACTTCAACTTGTTCCCAAAAATACACAAACCTGGCAACCCTGGTATTTTTCAGACTACAATACCCATACAGAATCCTTAAGGATCTAATTAGCCAGGCCAGAAAATATCCAGAAGCCACTGGCTGCAAGTCAGACCCAGAAAATGACAGAATACTGTACTACTTCTCACCTTCAGTCCACAACTGAGACCACTCAAATGCATCATGAATGGTATCCAAGCCATCTTTGAGGAGAACACTTTGCTCTACCAAGCCCTTGGCAGAGGCCTAGATCTGCTTAGACAATGCCCTCCAATCTCAACTAACTGCTGACACACAACGGACTGTGCAACACTGAGAAACAAATGGAAACTAAACTCTGGTATAAACTGAGGTGTCAGCTCCGTTCCCACGTCTGCTCCAGGAAACAATTATAGGCCCCAGCAATGTCATGCACAACATCGTGGGTGGGTGTGGGTGTTTTCTGATTCCTCTGCTAATGTGATCTGCACGCTCCTTGGCCGACAATGCGCACCGCACAGGACAATCTCTGCACAAACAAATTGCTGGACATAAATCTGATGGCAGGAAGGGCAGCACAAACAAACCCATTTCAGAACATTTCAGTCCACTTGGGCATTCTTTAAATGACTTGTAAGTCCCTGTTTGGGGTGAAAAACACTAGAAAACAAGAAGTCAAAGAAAAACAGCTCAGATAAGGTGTATATAGGATGCCCTTATATCCTTTAAGGGTACCTTACGTCATTGCCAAGTGAGAAATGGCAAATGGATCCACACATTTGTCAGTTGTGGCAACTGTGCTCTTGTTACCTTGCAGACTAATAACGGACCTTCTCCACAGTCTGATAGTGTATGATTTTATTAACAAACAATTGTCAATCTGTCCACCCTCTGTATCCCCACCAGGCCAATAGACTGTGTAAATTTAAGACATATCATCTCACTCTAACATCTGAGGAAGTGGACTTGATTACAGTTTACAATTACAGAAGTTACGATTTAAGGTCCCACATGTTTTTTTAATTGTCTTTGTTTGTTTAGCTTTGTTTTTGCTACCCCAGACCCAGGCTGCCGCAGAGATGAGGAGGATGCTGACCAGCCCAAGGCTTTCTCTGAACTCAAAGCCTTTGACTCCAGGTACCTTTCTTAGGAAAGAAAGTGAGTGATGGGCAGCAGAGAAGGAGAGACCTGGCGTCGTGATGCTCTCACCTCTAAAATGTTCTTAACCACCCCCATCCACAGAGGGACGGTGTGTTTATGTGTGCCAACAAAGACCACCTGAACATGTTCTGATTAGTCAGGGATCAGAAATTATGAATTGGACAAAAGTTCCTTCGTACTCGTGAATTGGGGCAACCCCATTTGGCTAGAGAGAAAACTGCTCCACAGAAAAAATCCCGAATCACTCCTGGGGGGGCAGGTCTCTGAGGCTGTTCCTTCCCTGGGGCCTCTAAGACCCTGCAGAGATTGGTCCAGGCAGGGTTGGTTCCTCTCTCTCCATGGAGCCTCAGCACCATTTGATTGGCTGATTAGTTCTGCCTGTGGAAGTGAGTAGAAGGGACAATCCATCTCTTGA